GAAAAGGTCCCACAAGCTCATCTTTGATGATAGCAGCCCATAGCATTACCCCACCTCCACCTTGATGGCATCTGAGTCTCTGAAGTATGACCCAACTGGCAGCTAATGGCTTCCTGGCAGCTTCTCGCTTCATCCTTCAATTCATGGGGAGTTGTTTTGCATCTTCTTTTTTCAACACGCTTCTTGCGCCCCTGTTGGCTATTTGCCATGAACCCCTGATTGTGCAATGATCCCGCTTCAAAAGCTTGGCAATTTCCAAACTGCTGCACCCCTCTAAAAGACATCTGACAATTTTTGTGTTTTCAGAATCTGTCAAATCTCTTTTCTGACCCATTTTGCCAAAAAAAGGAAAGGTTACCTAATAAATAAGCACACCTTATATAGGGGTGTTGATGTCATTAGGCCACACCCCTTCTCATTACAGAGATGTACACCACCTGCTTTACTTAATTGGTAGTTGGCTTTCAAGCCGATACAGCTTGGAGTAGGACAACAATGGGGAGTTCAGTAAAGATGGCTGATTTATTAGGGAAGCATCAATCAGATAAGATAATTAAAGCACTTATTAAATATTTAAAAGATAAAGAATTAGCTAGGAGAATTTAGTGTGTGTATGTGCGTGTGTGTAAGTATAGATAGAATTTAGTTTCATGAAGATATAAAGATATATAGGCATTATATTTCTGAATTACATCTCCGTCCAGTTGATGGCGGTAATGCACACAGGATGCAAACTGCCAGAAAACTCAATAAAAGAAGAAGAAGAAGAAGAGTAGGACAACATGCATGGAAAAGATGATATGGTCGAAATACTCATTTGCCTAATAATTCTGCACACAGTGTAAATCCATTTCTAGTGAAGATGAAGAATGATGACACCGTGGCGACTTGAAGAGTCGCTGGCCTTCACTGTGTATGTATGGGGCACGTGCAGGTCGGTTGTCTTCCGCTGCATCCATTCGAAATTTCCCACTTTCCTTTTTTTTCTGTCATGATTTGTGGACATTAAGATCAAAAGAAAAGCATCATCTGGTCAGACCCTGTAATTCAGTGAAAGGATGGAGTCAGAGTAGAAAAAAATGCATGCCCAAGAGAAAGCCAGTGACTGGGAGTTGCTGGGAAGTGGGCTGCCGTTCATCTGTTTGATTAGGAAAGGCCATTTTGAATGCTGCTACTGTAGAAGCATCTCTAGCCTTCATGATGCCGCCATGTTTTCCTCTGCAGAGCCGATGGGTTTCAAAA